TTTTATCTACATTATGCATGATGAATCTCTGAGAAAATTCCATCGCAAGCAAATACGACGAAAAATCCGAATCGAATCTATTGGGATCCTTGCCTTGATCCTTCCGAGACTTTTCACGGTACGTCCCCCTCAATAAAATTCAATTGATCCTCAAGAGTGCCGTATGGGTCTTATTTTAACTACTAGGAACGAACATCTGGTCTCTGCGCAGTTCGATGTTGGGGTATGCAGCTGCTTATATGTACTGCGGAACTGCGCCCCAATCAATATCCTTGTTAAAACGAGATTGAAAATTAGTTGCATGAGAATGATGGGCATTCTCCTGTTATGCAGTACCTGCATGCTTTCTGGATATTAACCGTGGAGCCATTGGGAGAGTTGCTAATCAGAAAGTCACCATAGGTTCAGACCATGCTTACACCTGCCCTTTTGGGGTTTAGGTTTTTGTCATCTTCTCGATGTTATTTGTCGTATCAAAGGATCACACAATACGACTTTCTACGAAAAACCTTCAAGGAACTTTGTTTCCAAGACTTCTCAATTCGACCTTATCCTATCTGACTAGCCTCCGGCACCTTAAGCCTTGGATCTAAAGGATCAACTCATCTTCAACGGGATCGGAAAGGGCCCCCGAATGGCCTACAGATCTGATGACATCTAGAACGCCAAAGCTCGATGGGATTTGCTACACTACCACCAAATAGCTCTGACACATCTGTCTATTTCCATGTGTCGAAGGATCGATATGTTACTTGGACACGACAAGGCTAGATGAAACGAACCACATTACAATCCATACTTTGGCTCTCGAAGAATCTCCCTGCTTCATTGAATTACAGGAGCATCGAAATTAAGTAATTTGGATCCTCATTGCGAAGGAAAACTTCAAGTTGGTCTACCTCTCGGACCACTAAACACACATCTTACTTCTGACCCCGATAAAGTTAGAGGGGCATTCGACGATTCCCAGCTTGCAAGCATGTGATATGAAGAAACGACGCGCCGCAACATCTTGTTCAATTTTGTCAGAAAAATTCAGATCATCCACGTTAACTTTAGGTTGGCATTAGTTTTTCCACTGCCTCCAAAACGGAGTTCTGCTGATTTGTCAACCAGAATTCTATAGGCAAGCTTTATTTCTAGAATATTATTATGGTACTCATGGCACTGCGAAAGTTCGAGCGCTAATTGATGCACATACAAACACAATGAGTCTCCTTTGCACAGGCCTTGAGAGCGTATGTTCGCGAATTTACGTATACTTCTATATCATCTCTGCAGATTTATGCTAGATATAGCGGCTGAACGAAGACACATTTTCTGAGGGGTCTATAATCTCACAATCATCTCAAAATGGCACGCGTATTATGACTGTGATGAGCTTTTTTTTCTGAAGTTACCGAGAAAAGGTAAAGAGATATGTTAATGTTACCATTTTTACAATGAGTAGAGTGTTTCTTTTCCACTACATTATTATTCCTTGATCCTGTTATTTGAGCCTTACCAAAGACCTATGTGATGTCTTCACAATTAAATCTCTTAGATGGCAATCTGATGTCGACAACGCCCGAAAATGCCCCCACAATCTTCCATCCTTCGAACACTTGCGACCTTAATTCTCCGCGGCTAACGTTAAGGCCGGCGCATGTCGCTACTCGTCTGAACTTCCCCTTGTATACACCTTTCGAACACACCGCCGCGTACCTGCACCGTCCAAGCCTCATGAGTGAGAACTCACCCATGCTTCTTGTTACTGATTCGAAATTCACGCATTGACGATGAAATTAAGATGCATAGTCTACATGACCGCAGCTAGCAATGAAAATGATATTTTGATACTTTGAAACAATTGAGCTTCGAAGAAGCCTTATGTTTAGCTCAGGCCGCGTCAGAGTCTATACAAAGACTGATAATACTTGGTATAGGCTTCCACGATACGATGGCATAATTACCTTTGTCGTGTGTTGAGATAGAAGCTTTACCAAGAAAATGCCTTGTATCGCCCCTGATCAAGGCTTCCTACGAGCGACAGCTCATCGAATCTGAGAGAAACTCATTTCTCGACTCCTATATTCATCGGCGCCTAGGGTTTCTATCCAGGACGAGCATTTTTCATGCAAGGCAAGAACATGGTGACGAAAGAAAATGTCGTGCTACCATCGCCTAAGGCTTTGAATCTAAACTAATGGCTGGTATTTCTATAATCCGAGAAGCAGTAGGCTAGTTTGTCTGATGATCGATATTAATGGCATTGTTATTCTGTGGTTGGAACCTTGAGAGAAGCAGACCCTGAGAGTGAGTTCGATAAGCAACATTTGTAGCCCGCAAAGCAGCTGCCTTGCCTTGCAAAATTAGATAGCATGATGACAACAGACTAGAGGTTTGCGAGTTTAACCCTTTTGCCTCTTGAGCGGCCAAAAATCGTCAAATGGCTGCTGCGAAGGTCTCTGACATCTCGGTTGCTATTCTTGCTGCCACGTATCAGAAAGGCACACCTTTACATCATTAAAGGGATCATTCAATGGTCTTCATACCGAATGTGACAATGATGATTCAAAATGCAACCGCCAGATCCACTGGAAAGTCGATCGTTGCATGTGTTTTAAGCGCATGCGATGAGGACGGCGTGATAAAGTGATGGGCACGAATCATTGCAAAAACTTCGTCCTCCTCTCACACAGGTCGATCCCAGTGGATATAGATGGACGTACCGCCAGCTATTAGGTATCGTGATCCCAAGACATCTCTGGATGAGAAGAGATATACCTAACTCCAGCTGGCGTTTTGGAATAGCAGAATGCCTAAAGGAGGCACCACCAAGGTTTTCGCAGAAGTCTGCGGTGACCCACGATGAATCGAGAGACAATCCCTCAGAGTTAAGTGTCAACTGAGCTAACAATCTCTCCTCCCATGGTTCGGTACCTACTTTTACTCTCACTTCCACTCGGCACGATTTCTAGTCCTCAGACTCGACGGTGAGAGGATTAGGTAGATGCGTACTTCAGGAAAGTACCGAATCCCGAGGAATCCGCCTTCACAATTATAATCATATCGTCCTCATCCAGCGTTTTCATGACAATATCATGATTCCATCGCCAGATATCGCGATAATGGTGTTGCGAGGCGTGATAAGAGAATCTACGCGCCTCCTCGGTACATAAGTCTCCACTTCTTGTCGGTTTGTACCGATGAATTCCGCCTACGGGTTGACTGGGAAACTAGGAAGGTGTCGGGCACGGAGAACTAGTTTTGATCATGAATTTTGAGACATCTCAAAGAATCTTGATTTGATGATTAGCGCCAGAGGGAGGACAATTGGGAGAAATCACAATAATTGAAGGTTGTCAAGTTCGTGATGAATCGTTATTTTTTCGCCATCATGATCGTAATTTATTGAATTCGAGGGAACAGAAGAAATTTGTTAAGACTGTATGTGTGATTGATTTTCCATGGAATAGATTTAACTTTTTCCAATGTGATACTGTATGCAAATCGAATCCATATTAATAATTTATTGATATTGAATGATTGGTCTCGGGAAGGAATAGGCATTCCATTCAATTCAATGTCTCAATGTCTCAATCGGATACCACGAGGAATTTCCGATCGTTTAGATCTGGTACTTTTTTCCCAAAAAATTATTACAGGATCCGTCATACGTCTTGGTTAAACTTTCTTATCACGAGCATTAGACTATTTTCTCGTGCACTTGGCATGAGCCTCAATGTAGACTGGAATCCGAGAAGGACGTTGAGAAACCGTGAGTAAAGCACCACTAGCGAATCAGAATTGGAGCAAAAAGCCAATCTCTCCCTCCCACTCCCATTGTTCGTAGCTGGCAGAAGTACTTCGTACAAAATCTCCAGGATAGAAACATGGTTCGGAATCGGATGATATTTTTTGACATGAATTCAACATCGTCGGTGACATCTAGTACTAAAAAGGAAGGTGGAAGACATATACTGGGTTAATAATTGAGATTGAGTTCTTCAGGTGGAGGTGTGGATGATGACATGGGGGGATGTGGTTGAGCTTATCTTTTGCGGCGCTGTTTGGATGGGATGAACGGGGACTTGCGGAGCTCACCGAGGATTATCCTGCGAGCGGTATCAAGATTGTTGATACTGCTTCAAATTGATCTGAGGATTTCGCCAAGATGGTGATAGAATGGGGTTATCGATTGATTGATATGGATTAGATGATTGAAGACTGAAGTAAGGGAGCCGAGAATATCAACTGTTTACTGTTGTCGTTTGTTTACATCACATACTGCACAGTGACTCAATGAGACTTCAATATTTCAGTTGTAAAAATTTCTTCTTCTTCAACTTTTCTATTCTATAAGAGGAAATGATATGTTAGTTCCCGTATCGATGGATCTAGGAACAAGAAATATACTAAAAGACTAGTAAGCCGAAGTTTAGCTGGTTAATTAGATGCGGCAACGAGTTACGAGTGAAGTCCACTTTTGTCATCAAACTTGGCGGGAATTCTCTTATCGATAAATATTCGATAGATACCGTGACAATCATATTGACAAGATGAAAATGACAATGGTTTCTGCCTGTTTGTATTGGCTATTCGTACAACAACAATTACCCCCGGATTTATCAATCGGTCTGGTATCACGCCAAGACTTCAGTTGGCGAGTTCCTACGGAGAAATATCCCGTATACGTAACGAGGAGAATAGATATTGAAGATATTCGTGCTGAATTGGATGATGACGGTGAGATTCCCAAGAAAATTCCAAGGCTTACTTGCATACATTATGGTTACATACAACCTACAGGCTGGACTCCGTAGGTCTTAGCGGCGGGTTTGCATGCATTGCGATAAGGTTTGAATTCTGTATTTCTTAAGACTGTAAATCCTGGTAACGATATCGGAGTTGGATTGATATTTGGAAAGAGGATTAGGGTAGCGAGGCAGATTTAATTGATTTATCATTATTATTTGCTGTCTTTTGATATCGTTTAGGTGTGTTGTGGGATAATTTTGGTACTCCATACCTATCCATACCAATATCCATATTTATCCAAACGAGCTAGACTAATCCAGCTCCCCTCTCTAGTATCTGCAAGGAAGATCAAAGATCAGCTCCCCCGTCAAATCGGTCAAGTATTCTCAACAGAATGAGAAAGTTTATTGGATAAAGCCTCAAAACCAGGAACAGATGCGTGAATATCCGAAGCGTGTGATTAACATGTTTTCGAGGAGACTTGTGGGGATATGGGTCATTTACAATGCATTCTTTGGATTGACAATTCACTGCAGGTACCACGGAATATATTAAGCTTCCAGAACCTCGAATCCAATGCCTTTTTTTTACTTCTTTCTCTACCTCTTCTAAAGCTTCCCTTACGCTCTTCCTTCCTCCTCTCGAGTAATCGATAGACAACCGAGTCTTCTTATTCCAAGATTCTGTCTCTTGTGCTTCTCTCTCCTACCCATCCCCGCTACTCCCCGCAGAACCTCCACAAGTCCCCCGATAGATCATATCATACCCTCTCGACAACATGCGTACTTCTGCTCTTCTTAGCCTTTTGGCTGGTGTAGGATCTGTGGCTGCCGCTGCAACCACTAAACCATATGGACTCCCAAAAACTAAATTAGACAAGAAGGATATCCATTTCAGTGTCCAGGCTGATGGTTTGGATGTTAAGTTGGATATCACCAATACGACAGCTAGTGTGGTCAAACCTAAGGTTTTCATCATTTCTATGGTATGTATCTCCATGCGTCATCTTGCCTGTTCCCATGTCAACGTTTTCCATATTTCCCTTGTCCATAAAGATATGATAATCATGTTCAACTCGGGCTTATTATCTGACTTGTTTTTAGTTCTCGCCCGAAGCAGACATTTGGTATGAGAACTCCTTCACCCCAGGCTCAATCGGAAATCTCCTCGCGAAAAACATCACCGTGCCCGGATTCTCCCCTATCTTCCCACAAGCCCATTGTCTTGCCGATGGATCCGTGTGTCAACTCACCACTGGTGAATCTGAAATCAACGCAGCTTCAACCATCACCGCTTTGACTCTCTCCCCCGCTTTCGATCTCTCTTCGACTTATTTCCTTGTTGGTGGAATTGCTGGTATCAACCCAAAGCACGGTAGCATTGGTGATGTTGCATTTTCAAAATACACTATCCAAGTTGCTCTTCAATATGAATTCGACGCAAGAGAAAAGCCTGATAACTTCACCACCGGATATTTCCCCCAAGGCTCCTATGCTCCAGATCAATACCCTGGTAACATCTACGGAACCGAGGTATTCGAAGTCAACGAACCACTCCGTGATTTGGCCGTGGGATTCGCAAAGAAGGCATCTTTGAACGATTCATCCGTGTCCATTGCCTACCGTGCATTGTACGCAACCGACAACTCCTCCGCAGCTGTCAACAAATATCAAGCAGCAACCCACGCTCCTACTGTCATCACGTGTGACACCGCAACTTCCGATGTATACTACTCTGGTACACTCCTCGGAGAAGCTTTCGAAAACACCACAACATTGCTCACCAACGGCTCGGGAGTTTACTGCATGACCGCCCAAGAAGATAACGCCACCCTTTCCGCTCTTTTGCGTGCTGCTCTCTTCAAGATCGTCGATTTCTCCCGTATTATCATTATGCGTACAGCCTCTGATTTCGACCGTCCATACCCAGGTGCCTCTGTCGAGTTCAACCTCTTGTACTCCAATCAAGGTGCTTTTGAACCAGCTGTTGAGAACATCTATCTCGCTGGTACTGAAGTTATCAAGGGACTTCTTGATGGCTGGAACTCAACTTTCGCTGAAGGTGTAACTCCCACGAACTACATCGGAGACATCTTCGGTAGCTTGGGAGGCGAGCCTGATTTCGGACCAGGAAGTGAGTTCGGTGGTGAGGAAGTCGATCCCAACAACGAGGTTATCAATGTTAAGAGAGATGGACAGAAGAAGCCCAAGTCCAGAAGAGAGATGAAGGGAAAGAAGGGATTGATGAGACGTATTTAAGTGATAATAGTAATGATGGGAGATGTTCCAGTGTAGGTGGGGGCTGAGAGAGCTTTTCCTCGAGCGTTCAAGACAAGACGCTTTCGTCTTTTCTTCGCGCCTGTATCTTTATCCAAAAGTTTTGGTCGATCCTCTTTCGTTTTCCTAGGTGGATATGTTTGAATTTGCGCGGATGTTGGTTGAAGTGGTCTGTCGATCTCTTACGGAAATTTCGGGGCAACGGATTTTGATGTTTCGAATCTCGATCAGCTTTGCATTGTTAGTCGATTCAAAGAGATCTGAAGCAAATATTCGGGCGAAGAGTATTGCGGGTTTCGATGCATTTGGAATAATTCGACGATGGTTGTAGATAATGGGTGGCAAGGAATCAGTCAAATGACTCTAAAAAGTGCGATGGGTTATGAGTACATAAATGCAGATGAGCTATGATATATGGGAGGATGGTATTTATATCATTATTCGGATTTGTGGTTACAATTTAGATCCTATAGGATGGATAGATAATCAAGCAAGTATATAGGAGAGATGAATATATGAATATACGATTTACATTCAATAATTTTGCTTTTCGTCTTTTCAGTTCTGCTAGTTGATTCATTGTGATTTGTGTGAGAGACAGGCTGAACTTGCCTTGGCGATGATTATTCTTGACTTGTTGAAATTATTTAATATAGTTCTGGTCTTCAAATGTACCTTGGAAAATGATCATTGTCTTGGATAGACAATTAATTTGTATGAAATGATCAGTCTGAGAAGAAACTGTTGAAGAGTCGGCCACGAGTATCATAGTACGACTCGAGGCCTTCAAATAGCTCGGCAAAATTCGTTCTCAACAATCTCGACATGGTGATTTTCAGAGTACGTGGTATCTTTTTGCATATATATTCACCCTTCTCTTTTCGATCTCCGATTCAAAATTCCACAGCATCACAGAACGCATGATATGAAGTAACAATGGGCTACTCATAGAAAAGTTTCAGATAGCTTTCAATATCAACGTAGTACTTTGTGAGTATAGAAGAGATCAATTAATAACGAGTCGGATTTACAGAATAACAAAACGAGGAGAAGCTAATGCTCACGTGCTTCTTTAAGATAATCAAGATGTGTAAAAGATTTGCATTCATATTGACTCAAGGTTCAAAGGGATTGAGCTGAGCATGGAACATCTAAACTCTTCTAGGGAAATCCAACGCATAATATAACAAAAGAGATAATAGCCAAGCTTTCCCTACCTCTATCTTCCCGTCAACTTCTGTTCACCACCTTCCATTCCGCATGCCCCAAAGAATTCTAGCTGCTTCAGCTTGGGCCGCAGCTTCAGCAGCAGCAGCTACTGCCGCTGCCTGGATAAACCTATAATATCTCTGGTTTTCAAAAGTCTTCGGCTTGAAATATGGACACCGGCCTCTTGGAGGCTTCTGGGTGCAATCTTGTTTCACTGATGCGATGACCCTAACTTGGCCGGTTCTTCCTTCGCACCAGCAACGTCTTGTGTATTGATACAGAGTACACATTCTTGGGGAATAGCGGGAGAGGATTTGAAATTTCAGGGGGTTGTAGGTAAGGTTAATTTTTTAGTGGTTGATATTCGTGCGGAGGTGCTTTTAGTGAGGTTCACGGTCTCGGGCTGGGTAGATGTTTCGTCGATTCGTCGAGGGATGGTGATGTGATGAGAAGTAAAGTTGGGAAATTCTCGCGGTGACAAAGATGTGAGTCTTATCAAAAGCAGAGAGGACTTCGTGGATGTGGAGTGTCAAGTGGTCAAGAAGAGGAATTCAACTGATAAAACCAGTTGTTGTATTGAAGCTTTGAATGTATTTTGATAGACCTGTGGACTTTTCGTATGCATACCTATACATGCGTCTATATGATGTTAACCGACTATATTACTGGGCTTATATTAGTATAACGAAGACAGTCATAAGTGTGACTGGGCGTCGAATTCAAAAATCATACATAGCTGATTACATTGCACATTCATGGAGGACAAAAGTTTGTAGAATATTCGTATTCGTTCTGAAGGCTCAACGCACTATTGACCAGCCAGAGGATGCAACGACTAAACTATTTTACAAAGTCCAACGCAAAGCAAAAACAGAGACATCAAGATCGTGAACCGTCTCATCACCAATCTGCCATCAACATTTTGTCATTACCTACGCCCCTCGCTTTATTTTTTGAAGAATTGCAGCAGCTTCAAACCTCGCTATTTCGTCTGCCTCTCTCTCCATTGCAATCGCCTTTGAACCATGACAATATAGGCATTCTGATTTGTATTTGCTTATCACCCTGTGTGACGCTAGTGGCGGATTATGTGGTTTTTCCTTTGTATCTGAGCACTTGACAAAAACCTTCTCCACGAAAACAAAAGCACGAAGTTTTCCATTGCAATAACAGCGTTTATGTCTCGCTTCGAACTAGCACATTCTGAACAGGTGAGAGACGATGAGTTTTGAGGATGGTACTAGTGATCTTTGTTCAGTATCCAATTGAGCTGCGTATAAAAAAGACTTGAAATCTCACCGTACGTTTAATATCTATGGAAATAGGAGCCTCGAGGACTTGTTGATGACGAGATGCTGATATGACGGTGAGAAGTTGAATTGAGAGATTGTTGTACGGGTAGAAGGTGTGAATTATGTTAGGAAGAGAGTTATTCGTAGATGCGATGCAGCAGAATATTCAATAACGACAACCTGGCTTTGATGAAATGTGTTATTGTTTTAAACCGCGAGGGTGTCGATTAGAGGATTCGAAATTGTTTTGTAAGTCGAACGAGAAAATCTCTACGCAGAAGGGGAACTCAAGGCCTTTTGTGCACATTTCGCTATGCCTATACAGTCATTCCATTCCATTGCGATCATAGTCGAAGAGTCATGACTGTTTTTCCTTGAAAATAATCAGTCTGTTCTGCAAAAAGAATCATTACTGTGTTAGATGCAATATTCATACCCCTTCGTCATTTCGCCAAACAATCGTATGCTGTAAACTTAGAAAGAGGCATGACTGGCTAAAATTCCAGTGTGGATTATGGCTTTAATGACTCAATTTGATCGAGTATTTGTCTGACGCGGAGAGTCTTTTGTGAGTTCTTGGACTGAAACTTGTCATTGAGCATTCATAACATGGCATGTTGCTCCGCATTTAGAATATACAAGATATCAATGTGAACGGATCAATCATGAGTACAACAAGATACCGAATTCAATGTTGATATAGACTGCATTGCATTACACATGAAAGAAACCAATCAAAGTATTTAAAAGGTATGTATTCATTTACTCGACGCTCCAGGCGGAAGCTGAAATCTCTATACCTTTAATAGAAGTCCAACGCAAAGAGCTAAACAGCAACTGAGTCCATCACTGATCCATGCTCATAATTTGAGCGTCCAGTCAAACATCATATGTCTACCAGTAGTCGATTCCATGATCGATTGATGCGATCTCCGCTTGGAGTGCCGTATCGGTGGCTTCTCTCTCTTCTCGATCACGATCTTCCCACCTCACCTGCTTCTCTCTGCTTTCGCTTCTCACATCTCTCGCATTCCTCTGAGCACCCTCGTTTCTATCAATCTTCTCACCCCTTTGTCCTCCTCTTCCCACTTTTACCCCTCTGCTCGTATTTTCTTTTTTCACTTGCTCTCTTCTGTTACTCCTCTCACCCCTCTCACACCTCTTGCTCCTCTCATTTCCCCCACTGCCGGTTATCACACTTCTCGCTATTTTTCTTTCTCTTTCTATATTCTCTCTCAATTGTCTATCTGTAGCCTCTCTTTCCCTCTTTCTCTGTCTTTCTCTTTCCTCTTCTCTTTTCCTTTCTTCCTCCCTTTTCCTTTCCTTCTCCCTTTCTTTTTCCTTCTCCTCTTTCAATACTCTCTGTCTCTCTTTATTCGCTTGTTTTATTCTTCTTACCATCTCTAGTGCCTCTCTGTCCCCTTCCTCTCTCTCATCATCTTTCCTCCTTCTCTCATCTCCTTCTCTTGCCCTTGACTTCTCACCATGACAATATTTGCATATCCTATGATGATGTATTTTGTCTTCACGAAGGGGGTGATTCACTCCAATTCCACATGGTATTACACGGCTGTATAATACGAAAACTTCGCCGCTCTTGCCGTTACAAAAGCAAGGTCCGACATAGATATGTAATCTGCATTTATTGCACGGCTGGGCACCAGGGCTGATGCTTTGAGACATTCTGTAAGTGCGATTGATCGGTCTGTCTTAAATGTCGTGTTAAAATTGCAGTATTACAAAACAACTTTCTTCAGTGGATATCCCGAGAACTTCTTAATGATATGGTAATGATGTGAGAATGCTAGCGACAATGACGTTAAAAGATGCACTCGCAAGTCCGTAGTAAGCACACAAAGTGTAGGCGCTTTTAGGAATGTGGAGACTGGAAGTGGTTCGTAAATATGAAGCAGTAAGATAATCGTGGGTAACAGTACGGTATTGATGGAAAGTAATGTTATTTGCCGAACTCTCGAATGTTCGACAATTTGAAGTTATGCGAATTTGTGGATGGTGTTGAAGATCGAAGGTCAGATACATCCACAAGAGGAAACGGATCGCTTTTGTTTTGAGGGTACTAGGCTCACACAGTCATTAAGAATTACGAGGGAAAAGTCACTACGTTTCTGTCCTTTTGGAATCACTTGAAAATCTCCAAGACTCATTGTAATTTATTCAAAAGGGAGTCAACTCTCTGTCTCCAAATAAATGACTTCTCTATACCCAAAGTGTCACATAAGTCGAAGAGCAATCCAGCTGCTGAATGATAGGAGTTCTTTATAGAACAGGGGATGTTATATAGAGTATGAACGTGGGTTCTGATATATCCGGCACTTGCGATTAGTAGATCAGACGCACAGATGGGGTGAAAAGGAACACACTTTAGCAAGATCGAAGTCCAGACACCCGATCCCGCAAGAAATCACGGTGACTTTATAGAGTAGTATACAGATACATCTTCGCCTTTCCTATGGACAGAAGATCGATAACAAGTTTAATGAGACATAGAAATTTACACTCACGCGTACTATAATTCATCGCACATCAAATAACCTGATGAATATGTATTAAAGATTTGCATTCTTTACTCGACGATCCAGACTGATCGGACGGAGGATAAATCTCGATAATCTTTTGTTAAAGTCTAACGCAGAATTCTGACCTAACTGCACTAAACGAGAAGTTGATAGAGCTCACCCTCACTCCAGCTTCAACATTCTGTAGCTTCTCCATACCGGATACTAATCAGCGATTGCGCCTTCGATGGATTCTTCGAGGAATAATTTGATGGGAATCTTGATAGCTTCCCTGATTGCCTCCTTCGTATCTTCCTTAATTGTCTGCTTGATATCCTCCTTGATATCCTCCTTGCGCTGCTACCTGGGCTGCCCGCTCTTCTGCCACTCTTTGTGCCTCTGCTCTTTGTGCCTCTGCTCTTTGTGCCTCTGCTCTTTGTGCCTCTACTATTTCAAACTCCATCCATTACATTTCTCGCGCTTCCGTTTCCAATCTACGGGCCTCAGCTTCTAAATGTGGGCATTTATCACAATTGCCTTCGACAATCTCTATTTCCCGAAAACGTGCCTCGTACTCATCGTGCGAGTTTCCATGCTCTACATACTTGCAAATTTTCACACCTTCGCCCACAGTGACTCTCTTGCCATTACTGCCGTTGCACCAGCACGGTCCTTTGACAAGTACTGTCTTACACATCTTGTGATGAACGGATTAGATACCGACAGGAAGACGCTAAGTGCTATTAGACAAGTCTATCGGCACGAATACTTGGCTGATTCAAGTTAGACAATTGTACGACAAATGTCTTCATGAGAAGTTTACATTAATCTCAACTTAGATAGGTATCTTGTGAATCTGTAACACTTGTCGATGTAATTGCGATGAGAAGAGCGTAATCCGTAATCGGCAAGTATTGAAGCACTCTGTGTTGAAGCTTCGATTTAATTGAAGATATCTTTGTGTATGGTTGCAAACGGGATTTTTAAATTGTATTGGAGGCTGTGAAGTGGAGGTTGTAGATGAAGGTCAGAATCTTTAAACAGAAGGGGGTGTAGTGACTTTTGTATCAGAGGGTAGTATGTTCATGCAGTCATTCCATGACCGTTTCTTTTCCAAGAGAGTCATTATCGTCGATTAAATCGAGTCGAATTATTTTTGGTTCCTTTGAGGACTCACTGTGATATCCCCAAACGAAGCCATATTTCACTATCTGAAGAGTGTCATATCTGCGCTGAAAAGCAGTATTCACCGCACTGCAGCATCTTACTGAATGGTAGTTAGCAATTGCCATCATAATATAACGTGCTAGATTTTGAAACTAGGTTCCAGGACTAGTTATACATTTGCGCCCCGTGTCGAAACATAAGAACACAACAAAGCGGTGATAGGAAGTGTAGATGAGAAGTACTAGGTAGGGAGGTTTGAATCTTGAGAGGTAAAGATTGTGTTGTTGGTAGGCTAGAAAAAGGAGATGGAGGACTGTATACCAGGAAGGAAATGTTTGGGTACACATGTAGCTCACGATTAAGAGACGCAATCTCAAAAATGTAGTGATATTTCTAACATTGCACGCCCGCTGGTAGGTTCATATCTACAAAACCAAACGCGAAAATATTGTACACACAAAATACAAAAGTAGAGATGGGTAAAAGAATCTCTATCAACATACAAATCTTTCTTCCGCATGGTTTATCTACTCGGTTCTGCCGAGGCGACTACTGGGACAGACAATTTCTGCACAGGTATTTCCTCATGATCATCCTCGTCCACATATTCCCACTCCTCATCATCCTCTGTTCTCTGTCCAAAAATCGCCGACAAAATTCTACTCCACAACCCCTTCTTCTCCACCATTGCCAAGACAAGTACGACTGGTAAATGCCAAACACTTGCCCAAAAGAGCTTTTTCGCGCTTCCTTTTTGGCCCTCGTATTTCCAGAACCTGTACGCCTCTCGCACCAACCATACATTTACAGGCATGCTAGCTGCTGCGAATGTCCATTCAGTTACATTCGCATAACAAAGCCCAATGCATAGGGGTATGCATGCGATACTATATCTGAGAGCCACGCGACCATTCATGGCGGGATTTACCCAACATAACATTCTATATCCGGCGCCTTTGTATTCTTCACGGATAGACCAGGATAAAGGCATGAAATGCGAAAGTTGCCATGCAAATAGCAATCCTGCTAGTAACCAACCTCCCGCACTATCTGGTCCAAGTAGTAAATCCTGCCATTCAGGTGTTGAGGAAGAAGAAAGATGTGAGGAAGTTTGTCCAGCCGCAGCAGTCCATCCCATCAATGGAGGAATACCTCCAACTATTGCACCGACCCAAGTATTGAAGACTGTGACTCTTTTCAACGGCGTATAAACACCAGCATATAGCCCAATATTCAAAGCACCCAAAAATGCAGTGGTGGGATTGACCCCATAATATAAACCTCCTACTCCAACAACTCCACTTGCAATTGCGAAAAGTAAAGCCCCACCAGGCGAAATGAGTTTTCGAACAAGGGGTCTATTTCGTGTTCGTGACATTTGCGCGTCGTATTTAGGTTCATAAAGCATATTGAGGGTATTCGCGGAGGCGGCGCATAGGGCCGTGCCGGTCGTAAGGAAGAGAAGGGTAAGGGGGCTCAAACTGGGTGTTTCAAGAAGTGTCGAGGATAAAAGCGAAGGTACTGGGTATAATGTGTAGGCTGAGCATGCGGTAAGAACGACGAGCATAGAAAGGCGGGGTTTGGTGAGTGACAAGAGGACTGATAATAGTCGTTTTATGGAAGATTGTGGAAGTGCGCTCGCGCGGTCGGCATGGATGGTGGAAGCATTCTCAGGAAGGAATTCTTTATCAGCTTGTTCGAGTGATTGTTTTTGCCGCCTTCGTCGATGGGGTGGCAGGTTTTCTAATTCTGCAGTGACTGGTATCGTAGATCCATTCTCGATGCTTTCTTTTGCCCCATCTACGCCTTTCCTGCTGAGTGCATCCACAGAAGTACTCATGCCACCCTTTCCTGCATTCCCAAAAAGATCTCTATTTGTAAAGAAATAGCCAGTCCCCAATCTCTGCACTATTGTTGTTTTCCTACCATTTGAATTCGAGAAATTCCTCTCAGCTCTTCGGATTCCTCTCAATTCCGTTCGCAGGGAGCATGAAAGGCATATATTTCCCAAACCATTTTGCCGTAAAGCACCAGCAAATATAGGAGACCGGACAATCATTGCGAGGGCTACTGTCGAGCTTCAAAAGCTATTGATTAGAGTTGCAATGATGTGAGTATATAAAGTTGCATGATTCTCGGAAGTTACCGAACAATTTTCGGCATGGAAGTGATCGACCAATTAGATGGTGCTTATTGTGAGTGAGTATTCATATATGGAGGGCAGATGGACATGTTTCATGCATAGTGAAGAGATCAAAATGCCGAAACACTTTTAGTATTGAATGCAAAGTCCTTCAATGTAATCGTTCACCAGAAAGTGGTTTGAATTGAGCCCCAGATAGTTATCTTGATAATTTTCCAGGTCTCACACCGCCCGGCAGAATAGCTTCAGAAATATGCCCCGCAATCTGCTTGTGACATGGATTGCGAGGATGGAGTTTACTATATTGCTTTGCTTGTAATGCGAGCCTTGCATTGTAACCCCCAGCTACGTATTATTCACGAGCAGTTCATTTCGGATTCCTCAAGAACAAGAGGCCACAAAAGTCAGGAAATGTGCTCAGCCAATGTTCTATATGAAGACATGTCGAGGCCGAATTCTGTGTGATGATTTGCCCAAGTATTGGTATGGTATGGTAATAACGGCTTTTTCAAGGGTACCAAAGCACATAACACATAATTCAAAGCTTTTTTCTAGCAATAATTTTTGGTTCTTTCACAGAGCCTTGCCTTCCCTAGATAGGCAATCTTCTTTGGTGACATATGATACAATATCTCTACCCACAGTGGCTAATACGCCGTCTAGACTGTCGCTCATTCCTTTTCACCAGCCCTTTCATAATTCATTATACTGTACACTATTGGCATGGCCAATGACTTCGTATCCATTCAAAGCATATGATGAAACAATCGAAGATAGGTAGCAATGCCTACCATATGGCTGGAATTATATCGCCACTGTAGGCTTGTTTTCGGAGTTCGATCTGAGGCTTAGATTTCTCTCATCCCTCAGATTATACACCTGCCACGCTCACCACATTCCCTCCCAAACTCTTGACAATACCACGTCTAAGCTCTAGTCTCTCCTCAATTTCGGAATCAGGCATACCCTCAGACCTGTAAACCAGTACTGTTCGAATAGTCGCAACGTCTAGATATTTCCTTCCCTGGAATCCCTTCCTGCCGATTTTCTCGAAGTCTCTCTCTGCTTCTTCTGCTATTCTAGATCTCGCCGCCAGGAGGGTAACTGCAGGATTGTTTGCGGTTGGAAATATCGACTGCGCAGGTGTGGAAGCAGATGGGATAAAATTGTTGCCGGATGTGATAGGATCTTGCGCTGATGCTCGGTTGAAAGTAGATGAATTGGAGAGAGTGGGTGAAGGTGTAACAGGACCTAATTCACGGAGGCGAGAATTGAGGCCAATATCTGGATCGGATGCATCAAAACTTATCGCTATAAAATATTACATTAGCATGTGAATTCAATTCCTAGTCGAAGACTTCCAATTGAAGGGCCAAAAGTCATTGATAGAAGATAACAAACATTGATTCTTTGTAGATGAGGAGCTTGCCTCTGGATGAACAGTTGGTCCCAGTTTTGCGGAAGAGCTTGGTTGACTTGGTTCAACATTTGTGCGGGGAGATGAAGGCGGCGGAGTTCGAGTTGGGTATTTGCGTGCAGTATTGGAAGCTGATAAAGAGGCTGCTTTAGAAGCTTTTGCTAGATTTTTGGATTGCGAAGCTCCCATATTTCCAGTACGTCAAATTGTTCAAGGGGATGAAAGTTGGTGGCAACGTTATTGGTGAAGATGAATAGTCGAAGGAGCTTGATGATGCACTGATGCACTGATGCACTGATGAGCTTCAATGATTTCTGGGGAAGCTAGCCTAAACTTCAAGCCTGAATCGCAAGGTTCAGGTTATGATTGGCAGTAAGACTCCTTATCTTTGACGGCAACGAATGCTTCAACAGTGCTTACGCGGCATGAATTATATCTACATCTTCAAGTGAATTCTTCAAAATGCACCTTCAATTCCTTTCTTTTCCATTATGCATAGTTCGTAGTGGCAATTTATCGATTTTGAAACAATGTTTGTATTATGTTCTGTTTCTGTCTTTTATATAGCTTTTCTTCATTTTGTTACAGCGTTTGCTGAACTTCAATACCCTCTGTTTCAATCTTTCGAGTCTATCAAAACCCGTAGTTCCGAATGGAAATTGAACTTCTCTTCATCAGCACCTCATTGTTTCGCATCAGTTTACGGACTTCTTCAACAGTGGCCAAATACATTCTTTCCGAGCGGGCATAGTATTGTTCCGTGTGAAATACCTCCTCTCACAAAAGTGTATCATGGCCGAAGAGATGTCGAATCTCTACCTGAAAGTCCAGAATGGGTTTCTTTCGACGTGTGAGTATTTTTCAATGTCTTTGTTCTTCGGTTAGCATTCTTTCCCCCCTGGATAAATGCCAAATCGGCCGTCCGGTGAGCTTCTAATTTTATCCTGTGAGTGCAGTGTCTAAAGGAACTAATTCAACCAAAAAAAAAAGGATCCGAAAGATTTAACTTCATAAATGATTTCCTGGTGAATCCAAAAATGCAAGCCTCGTAATGCCAACGAAAGGTTCTCCGTTCAGCTAGCTTGCTATTCTAGATAGCTTCTGGCGGTTACGTCCATGATCATACACTCTGTACTAAACTTGCCAAAGACGAGCGACGCAAGATTAGACTATTTGCTAATCATGCTTCAGTGAAATGGCCTATGGAATTATGGGTTCCACCAGAAACTCCCATCTTCTTACATTCCAAACTACTCGTACAGCGAAATGCGTTTATTTTGACGGGAAATCCGCTACACTCATGGGCACAGGTCGAATGGATACACAAATGCTGCACATCTACAGCAATGTAACTGTCCCAGATCCTAATGGACACTTTGGACCAGGCTTAGTACAAGAGTATGATAGGGCAAGAGGCCTCTGCTCCTGGGCGCACGAAAGAGGTCTCGGCGGAAGAGGTTGGGGCGTCGAAGGGTTTGTACGAATGAATGCTGGATTTGAGATGATCTGGTGTGATTTCGAGGGCGAAACACTAAGATTAGTGGAGCATTTGAATGTTACAGCTCCTTTGCTTCCCAAAAACGTACCAGAAGAAGTATATAAAAAGGAAGAAGCGGATCTCACATCCTACCTTCCACTACCATCTATAACGACTCGGTCGCCGCAATCTACACATACAAAGAATCCCACGGAAAACCATCCTGCTATGCCACCAAACTTCAGACATGATTCTGAGAGAGAACCATTCCTTCGAAGTCAAGGCTGGGGTTGGTTCACAAGCGCTGCTTCTCATTACGGTTCTTCTGGAGAAGGGCCGGGACTTGGCGAAAACAGAGTCAAACTGCTCACATGTGGAATCCTGAACTACTACTCTCCTAAATTCGAGAGCCAAGCAAAGGCACGAGGTATAGTTGAAAGGGAAACATTAAATTTAACAAGTGAAGGGTTCTGGAAAGCTGATCTGGGGGACGAGAATGAAAGGATGACTGCGTTGAACGCTTTGATGCGAAGGAGGAGATCCCATACTTTAGACGATATCAGTACAGATGACGCAGCAATAATGAAAGAGGACTCGGAGAGAGTTCTCAAGAATTTACTCAGTCAATCTTCGAACTGCACCGGTATTGACTGGACAACGATGACCAACGGAATCGTTCAAACCTACGCATCACCCCTAGCTCAAATTCTTCAAACCCTACAAAATTACTCTTCAATTCCGCCATCCAACAACACAGCAGAAAGAAAGTGGATGTCATCCATTCGGGACCAGACTCATTCATTACTTCTCCCTTTCCTTGAATATCCGTCGCCCAAAGAAGACCCTTCAATCTGGCAACTGGACTCCACTCTCTTCCAAACCACTTATTCCCGCTGTCACTACCACCACACCCGGCTTCTTTCCCCTTCTTTGGGTATCTATCTATCACCCGAAGAGAATTCCTTCAAATGGGCCGTCGAAGAAACCCAAGCCGGAATCTGCAACATCCTAATCGACATTGGATTTTCCGTCGAAGATATCTGGAACACCACATTCAACCAACCATCTTCAAACTCAAAAGACACACCCATTCTAGCCCTTCAAGATCAAAAAGAAATCCCCCGCTGAATCCACGGTATACAAGAACTAAAAGCCTGGCTCGGCTGGGCCGGTGAATGGACCAGCTGTGATAATAAATGCGCAGCAGATGAAAAATGTTATATTCCCATGTGGCCGATGTTAGGGAGAGGCAATGGACCGATTCGACATCCACCGCCTGGAAGTCGATATGGAGATAGACCTGGGCCTGGCGATAGATATAATCGGCCTCCTGGGAGAGGAGAGCATGGGCCCGGTGGATATCGACCCGGAAGACCGGGATGAGGGATTGACGAGACGGATTTGTGGAAACCGAGATGTGTGGGTGTTGATTATATTATGGGGGGCTTGGGGTAGTTTAACGGATGTGGAGAGAATTTAGATTGTTTGTATATTGATTTCCTATGCCTGGATAAATACTAGGTTCGTTGAAAGATGACTGAGAAAAAATTCTAAAGGGCTCGGCAACTCAAGGGTTTAGAGAGTCTATATATGCCATGTTAAGACTATCCATATCATAATATCCATAACTCACCATCCCATGTACATCTAACTATACCATCTTCCCACACAAAACTGAACTCCAACCCAGCTTGGCTGCACACCAATCTGCTTTCAATCAAATAGTGAATTTGTCAATATACCCATTCCGTACAACGCCTCAAGACTGTCCTATATACTTGTTTTTACGTCCAACAGCATCGTGATTAGTTGGTACAGTGGTTAGGAAGTGCAACTCGACTTTCACTAGCTGAGAAGCCCTATGACCAAAAACAGCAATACAGCAAAATAAAAAATAGTAAAAAATAGCAAAAAACTACAAGTCTCGGAATCTTCTCGAAGTTCCAAGCTTGAACACTCTTTTTTCTCTTTTTTTCAGGTGGAGTGTAGTAAGTTGCCAGTATCAATATTATATGGCTTGATTATTTTGACTGTAAATGAGAACTTGGCACTGCCTATGTATATATCATTTGTAGATCGATATAACGCTAAAATGCTCATCCAAACCAAAACTTTCTGCTCGGCGTGCTAATCATAGTACCTTCAAATCCAAAAACACCTTTACCAACTTGAATGTCCGCCATCCATTCTCAAATCCGCGCCTATAAGGAAACCGGTCAGTAATCTGTCCCCAAACAGAGTTAACACCCAGGTGTAACGTACCTGTCATGAAACTACTAGCATCGCTAACCAAAAATACCGCCGCCCCTCTGTATTCTTCCGGGGCACTCAATCTTCCCAACATATTCTGTTTGGGCCAGTCCGTCCTCCTCTCTGGGAATTTCTTGAAAAGTTCCTCCACCATAGCTGTCACTATATATCCTGGAGAAATGGTGTTGACTCGAATACCATGTTCACCCCATTCACTAGCCAAATTTCGCGCAAGTTGTAGAACTGCGGACTTTGATGCGTTGTAAGCGGGACATATGAGACCCTGAAGATCACTAGTTAGTAGGGATATCAAGTTGGAGAGGGAAATGGAAAGACAAACTCGATTGGCTACAGTTCCACTCATACTGGCAATAAGCACTATACTTCCTCCATTACCAAATTTCACCATTTGCTTTGCTACCGCCTGTGCTGTCATAAAAACACCGGTTACGTTAACACTCATCATTAGATCGACATCTTTAGCCGAGTACTCTAGAGCTGGAGTTTCTTGTTGGATTCCAGCTGCTGCGATCAGACCATCCATTCGTCCTTCTTTCTGAGCTATCTCCTCAATTATAGAATTCAGACCCTCGACATCTCGTACGTCGATGCGACGATATGAAAGCGATGTACCGAGTTCTTCCTTCGCGCGCTGTGCAATGCGATCGAAATCAGGAGAGGGGCTTTCGAGACGGTCAAGGGCGTATACTATGATGTTTCGTCAGAAGGAATTACTCAATCTAGATTTGTTCTCGATTGTAATCGAAATTACACACCTTTAGCACCGGCCTCTAATAAAGCCTCCGCCTGTACCAATCCTAATCCTCTGCCAGCCCCGGAAACACACACCACTTTATCGACCAAATTGAATTCGGGTAGACGTTTTTTGGTCCCTAGATATGTTGAAGGTTGACCACTTTTCAGTGCTGCGCTTTCGGCGTCTGGCGCAGGAGGAGGTTGACGTATTTGGGATGGCGGACTTGAGAGATGTGGAAGGACAGAGAAGGTACGAGTGAGAGGACGAGGATTGGAACGGAGATATCTGATTGAGATACGTGAAGCATTTCTAAGGGTAGACATGACTCCAGCAGCTTCGGTTTTGATTGACAATTGAGAATAGAAGGCCGTGTGACTATACGTTATGTGATTCAGCTGCACAGCCTAGAAAACTAGAAGCTCAATGATATGCAATTGAGAAGAAGTAACATTAATTGAAGACAGAACTGTATGTGAAACCTGTCTTGAACAGCGGCCTTTTAAACAATCGTAGGAGCTAATGCTTGCTTAGTGAATCACCAATCATTTCGGGTCCATCAATGGCTGGGGAATCTAACGATCGATATCACCTCCGCGGGGGGGAAGGCCATAATGAAGCCACTTGACTTTGCAGCAGTGGTACAATCATGGTTCTTTGTGGGTTGACGTTCCATGAGCTAATGCTTCTAATCCGAAGCGGGGTAATTCTCCGCATTCTTATAGTCGGAACGCTGGATTAAGTAATCCGGGAACAAACATTGTGAGCTCATGCAAGGGATTGACAAACAATTGATATCGGAATACCTTCCCTAGTTGTTAAGTGCATAGTAAGATTACGTGCCTTTATTGGCAGATTTCAAGCAATAATTCTAGTAAAATAGCTCGAGTTGCCGAGGCTTTGAAACTTAGCCAATGCTAAGAGTGTGTCACTACATAGGTGGTTTGTCTAGAATAACATTCTCTCCTTCAACTTGTCGTGTTCCACGATATCTTGTTCTTTGCTCAGAAACTCTGGAATATCCCAGGTGCAACTTATATACCTGCCAGCTAACCATTCTCTTCTCTCTTGAGATAAAAAGCACATCGAATCACCCGCAACTTCCGGATCATCTCTCAAGACTAATTTCAGAAATTAGCAAGTAACCTTCGATTATTCAGCACTTTATTAGCGATGGAAATACAATATACCTTTGTGAAGATATGCCGGCAATTTCTTACCCATATCTGTATTAACGGCACCAGGATGTACGCAATATGCCAGTAATCCTTGTTCTGCATACTCTGTCATTGTGAATTCTGTCAATCTCAACAATGCAAACTTCGAGGTTTGGTATCCGCTAGCTCCAGGTCGCAATGAATTTGCTCCAGTACTGGCTACATTGATAATTGTCTTGAGTCCATCCTTTAGCATCAGAGGAAGGAACCCACGAGTCATCCAATATACGCCACGTATGTTGACTTCAAATGTCTGCCACCAGTCATCATGGTCTGAGTCAATTATTGATTGACTAGCGGCTAGATATCCCGCATTATTGATCAAGATATCCAATCTTCCGAAAGTCTTCTCAACCTCTTGAACTGCGTCTTTAACACTTTGGTGATTGAGTAAGTCAAGCTTGATCGACAAAACCTTTGGTGAGGTCTTTCCTGCCGCCTTTGCTGCCTCCTGAATTTCTGTCTCGAGTGAGGAGAGATCCGATCTTGCACCGATGGCAATCCCTTCAGCTCCAGCTTTCGCGAATGATATAGCCGTGGCTCTGCCGACACCTTTCGAAGCACCTGATATGAAAACTATGTGTTTGCTATGGTCGGATTTCGTCGCGGAGTCGATTGCGGGGTATGTGGTGTTGTGCAGAGTGGCTGTAAAGTTTTGGCCTACTTTATATTAGTTAAGGATGTGAAAATGGATGATGAGCTTTACCATTTGGAAGAGGAACAGGTGGATACGACATTTTGATCTTAAGACTTGAAATCCGCGATATAAATCACAACGAGGGGAATGAGAAATGAAAGAGAAGGAGGGAACGAAAAGCAATACTTAGTCAGAGATACTCGTAAATGGGAAAACCTTGTAGTGTGATGACAGCATGCAGACTGACCAACACTACTTCCGCATCGCTCCGATGTAACCAGGTCATCCGTACCCACATTATTGATTGATCAATGGCTGCTGCTAATTATGGTACAGACATCCTAAAGACGGCAGTTGGAGACAATAAAGTTAATGATTACATAAGCAGGCCACTCTGTTAGACCAAACCAAACCACATTCGATATTAACACATTGCAACAGCCTACATAACATAGTGAAGTTAGAGAATACAGCAGTGCTAACACAAATCCAGATGTTTGGGTTTACTTCGCAAGTGCAGTCATCTTCTTGATACAAGTTCGCTTGCATGTCTAATTTTCATTTACGTTCAGCCATCTCTTTCACCAATGCTTTCAACATCATTGATGCTTCACTTTTCTGATATCGTTACTTTTATTGCTAAATTATATGCCATGATAGTACATTTTTTCTCAGAATCGCTTAAAGTTGAGCGATTCCCAAAGCGTACAATTTCCTCTTAAAATTCGGTTATAATCGATCGTAAAGCGCTTTGTTCTCGGGTCCATCTTTGTAGAATCACTACCCATGAGCGAACTGTGAGCTGGAAAATTCTGCAAATCGATCAAAACTCGAATCCCATCGCTCAAGATGGCAAACCTAATGAAACCCTATGAAGAGAAGAAAAAACAGCTAGGTCTTGTACGCATGGCTATCTGGGGCCCTCAATGGGATCATAGAGCTAACGCAAACCCTCAATGGAGGTGGATATCTAAACAATGGCGAAGAGAAGGTCGTGAACCACGAACGGAAGTGGGACATTTCGACTTTTATCCATACCCACAGAAGTGGCAAGACTATGTTGACGCAGTGAAGCAAAAGCCTAATATTTTACCATCCTTTCAGGAAGACAATAACAATACCGTTTATTCTGATGCAATAAACTGGGGTGTTGGAAAGCAAGTCCGTCAAACCAATGGTCCTTTTCCTGTATACAACATAGGGTTGAATCCGCAACATCAAGGTTGGTTTATCCCCACACACAGATCTCCGGGCGCCAAGTATCGGTTCCCGGGAACACGAAACGTGGTGGGCCCTCATCAGAATAAGAACTTCACAGGCGTATTACTAGGAGTCTTCGTGGGCTTTCGTAGAGTCAGAAGGGACAAGTGGAATCCATGGTGGTGGGAAGTTGTGTACGCGAGATTAGATAAGAGAGATCGGGCCCTCCTACATGCTTATGACTATAACTACCTTGGCATGCCTTTGTCAGCTGTGAAAAAAGGTAAAGGCACGTCTTGGAAGTGTAGGACAAATGACATTATATGGGTGGAGGCTCTTGAACATGTGACTATGGAGGAGAGGACAGAGTGGATAGGGGATCAAGTCAGACGGCCAGCTGCTAGTTATCACAATCATTGCGCAGATTTTAACGAGCTGAGATGTGCATTTAATCTTCCTCCATTCTATTTCTAAGGCATGGGTATGATAATGGAAGGGATCTATTGTCTTCAGGAATATTTTCAATGATTTTCAGTCAAGGGATATCTCTCTCATGATCAGACAGCCTGATCAAAATCATGCCAGTCATGCTTCATAAGCAGAACAACTGAGACTCAAGATCACGGGGCACTGTGACAATTATACAAGAGCATTTAACTATTAAATATTATACATTGTCTAGAAAACAGACGAATCTTTTTTTTTTTTTTTCTTATCCGGCAGATGCATGAATGAGACCCAAGGAATACGATTCAAGATAAAGGTAAACCCGAAAATCTTTTACTTATTCAACCTACAAGCGATAGGCCATTGACCGCAGAAGGATGAGACACTGCAGTGCCCCTTTTTACGTTCTCACTGCGAGCTGCACAGAGGTTGTTTAGTTCGATAACTCTGTATCAACTATCAGCTTTAAGAGTAGAGATAGCCCGCTGCCATAATGTGATCTCTTTAGTTTTACACAAATTTATTCAAACATAAAAACCTGAAAATCAAATAAATGGGAAAGCGTATCTGTGCTGATTATATGTGACGTAAGTTCGAGCTTATTAAGACAGCCGCATCGACTGATTTGTCCAGAAGACTTTGGTGCAACATCGTCAGATAGAGATATGCATATATCTTTCGATCTTCCACTTGACATTGTTAGAATCTGTAACAGCAACGGGGATAATTTGAGCTCATTTAAGAATTGTTTGCGGCAGCAGCACCCACGACTACGGAACTAAGTGGTATGCTCAGTAAAGCTGTGAAAGAGGTCCAAAACGGACGTGGATCTTCTCTAAGGGTAGGATTAAATGTTGGTGAGATGAGAGATTTACAAACGCATCGAGATTAGCCTCACCTAACTTTAGAAATCGGATCTTTCTGAAAGAATCCTTATTCACTAGTTATAGCAAATATAACAATTATCCCGCAGCATATCTGCTATAGACGCCTCTAATAACTATTCAAGAGAATGAAAACAGCGAGTACTTGTGAAACGTGGAGAATTACAAATTTAGGTAACCTCTAGTGAAAGCTTATTAGACTGAAAATCATTTGTAAAAAATGACATGCACCTTAATATTTCGTGCTATATTCCTTGGAATACTGAAGTCTATAAGTCTTTGAGCAGAGCATTATCCTACATTTGACACTAGAAGTTGACTGTTCAGGAATTATCCATCTCTATATCGTTCAATATAGCTTGTTGTTTTCTAGCGTGAATCTTACTGACAAAGTGACTATGTCTAGCGTACTGAAAATACAGTTTTATGCATCGAAACAGCAGCAAGCTCATTCCTCTTTACCCACTTACCCAGAATATACGCCACAAGAATCACACAAATACACAAAATCCAATATCATCCTTCTGGAGATCGTATCTCCCCAGGGAACCAAGAATCATACAAAACGATCCAAATGTCTGGATGACCAAAAACAATATAGTAGGCGTGATAGTTCGAGTTAACCAGCTATCAAGCCTACTATTGAGAGATTATTTGCATTCTGGATCTATATACCCCTTGGCCATTTCTGTTGTGGACGTTGCCCCACTTCTAAGATATATTTGTGGGAGGGAAAGTTATGTTATTATTTCTGCATCTTGACTTGACTCCGTCTACTCATGAGCCTCAGTTCTTGGAAATCTCAGCTCTGGACTATTTACGACCAACTTTTATCTCATTATTGCTGTCTATGAAGCTTAAGTTTGTAGATAAATTCTGGATCACTGTATAAGAATAAATTTTCACAAAGCTAACTCAATGACTTGACTGCCTTGGAGTGAGGGAGGGGTCTAGATGATAGATATTACTAGCACAAACTTCTAAGCTCTGTTCTCTGAATAATTGCTTTGACGTGAGTGTTTAATGTTAGACAGAGTATGTTAGGGTTCTTGTTTTCAAATCATGTTGATCAAAAGTGTCCAAGAATCAAAGAAGTTTATAGGCAAATTTACTGATGATTTATTGTGAATATATAGGATTTACTCTATAAGAGACCTCTTTAAAGCATTCAAATTGGAGAAGCTACTAGATACATAAGTAGAAAGAACTCTTCTCTCGAATGAGATATTCATTAGTTGTTTGGACAAACATAGGTAAAGTTGAAGACACAAATATCAGGTAGAAGTTTAGATGTCCATTATTTCAGCATTACAAGGACATATCTCCTCGAAACTCACTTTCTCCCAACAAAAGGTTTGATAGGACTTTTCATCCGATCTTGTCAAATTGGAAATCTTGATCTCGGGATTTAGAAGTCTCTCCGAGCCTAAGGCCGAGCCCTAGATTTGCTTTCACTATCCATGCATCTAGGTTAAATAAGGAACAATATAATCTTAACAAGCACACATTACAAGGGAAGAGAAACCAGAACTCAAGCCCACATTGTTCTTTGATGAATTTTCACACAAAGATTAGATTCTTACCATCGAAGTTTCCTCTTCCCTCAGACCCTCCACCACTTGCTTCTTCTTCATTTCCAGATCCAAGTTTGCCTTCCCCAGCAATGGACTTGGAATAGCAACTCCAACTATCAAGCCTACTATACGAATCTTCATGACTCCATCAGCACGACACACTTCAACACTATGGTCACAGACCCTCTCAACGGCACCTCATTCCCTGTGAATCACGTCGATCAATCTTCCAGCATCCAGACCATTGACACGATTGGCAGGGGATGCCATATCATTCTTCAATCTTTGTCTTGTGAAATGGTTCATACCTATCAAGCCTATTATACGAGTTTCCATTGCCTGCGTTGGATTTCTCTGCACCGCTCTAGTAGTCGTACGTATATCCTTTCTCGATGTTCTTCCAATATGCACAAACTTATTCTCCGAATACAGCTTCAGCTATCAAGCCTACTATACTTCCGTTAAAACCTCGAGAGTTACTTAGCTCTGGTGCTTGCTCTGGTGCAAATCGGACCAAGCACCAGAGTTGAGCAAGTATCTTAATGTGCTTCACCGCCTCAAAGACCGTATGCAGAGGGACGGAGTCTGGACGTAAAATAGTCCACACACTGGGGACTTTCTGACTGGTGGCAAGCAAGATTGGAATGCTTTCACGAAGATGATGTGGTGAGACTTGTGGTTTTGGTATGGACTCCTTTTCTGTGACTATGATACTGCGAAGTTTCAATAACTAATTCCATGCTTTATTAGGAAACGCTTTAGGAGCATCTATAAGCTGAGAAACAATATGTCAACAGCTCGATTTCACTTCTAAGATCAGGCAACGCCGTTCGAGATGAATACTGAGTGAGTGCAGGTAGAGCATTATTTATATCATACATAGGAATTGGTGGATATTACTTGGATGAAGGCTTAAGAGGAGGATTATATATAAAGTTTCTCACCGTATAATCGCAATTCTTAAAAACCCACATTAATTTTTGCCACCTTTTGTGCCAATGCTAAATTATAATCACATGTAAGAGCATGTAAGCACGAAGCAGCCAGTAAATTTTAAATACCGAAATTTAGCACGGAGTCTCCATACAAAATTAAGCGAGATGCCATCATCACGCTGCACCTAGCTTGTAATTTAACCTTACCCTTATAATTCTCCCCATCTCCCATTCGAATTGAACTTTCCCAACAGGAAGACTTCTATGGAATAGTAATGAAACCCCCTTCACCCGTTTCCGCACAGTATCGCGAATTAGGATAGGTGACCCTGTGCTCCCGTCTCCTTTCCCTAGTAATTATTCTAAACCAATACAAAACTATATAAGATCTCCCGAGAAGTATTTCCCAAATCGCGACCCCATCAGAATCAATATCAACATCCATACCATGCACAAGAAAACAAAAACTCCACGCATCTGCGAAGATTTCTATTCATCCTACAAGAAATCTCGCAGTTAGCTCCTTATACCCGTGAAATAGTTGATACAAGCGCAATCCTACATCCGCAGAATCACCAGTTCTCGTGCACATACCGGAGCGAAGATTGAGGTTGTTTTGACTACCTACCTAGGGATTGGAAGATAGATAGGTATTGAAGGAGTTTGACGAGATAAAAAAGTAGATTATAGAATACCAGCGTGTTAGACGTAGGTAGGTAAGCCGTGACAGTGCCTATGGCATGCCTTTCAACTCTTATATTCACTCTATGGTGATTCATCCAGATATTTACATTATTCTATACTGTATGCACATTTCGATCTAATTTCCTAGAGCTATGGAGACTAGGTATAATTTACCAGATACGCCTCGGGATTAACTCGAGTGAATGCTATGTATGATTCTTCATGGAATTCGCAGGTTCATTGCTGGTCCATCTATAGACGATGTTGAAGAAGAAGATAGTCTACACAACCAAAGGTGCGTTTAAATAGATATTCATCTTAACTTCCTTAAATTATTCTTGGCATAATTACCCCGCAGTGTCAGCCTTGCATAGATTAGATGATCGAATCCCGCAGATACATAAGCAGCACAACCGACATGTGCAGTCATCAGAACCAGAGATCTGGATCATGACAAGCCTCCGCATTATACCCTGTGTTTGCAGCTATCCCTAATACGGCAGTTTCTGCTGGGATTCTCGGTTCTAGTGGTCATCAAATTCACAGCAGGTTGCAAAGATGGGAGTATAGAGAGTTTCTAGAATACTATATTACACATGGGAATCCCCACCATATTCGAGCATTTGCGCGACTCGGCAACTAGAGTTACAAAGTACAGGAGAGTCAATGGAACATCCTTATAGAGAAAACAGGTGATTCGAAAACATCAACTATAGAAGTAAAGCAATTAAACCACCATCCGTTTCTAACTCCTCTTCTAATAACCACCGTGTATCATCTTTTGTCAGAACTCGTAAAATCATCAAACATCATAAAGTGTACCAAGCGGTCAGCTCTATCATAGCCCAGTTCGAAAAGTTCAAGTCGAGTTATAGAGTGACGTAGGTAAGAATGAGAAGACTGCTTAGGCAATTTTCTCATTCTCTCTGTAAGCTAGAGTTGGCGATATTGCCTCCTCGTCACCCTTTTCCATTGTCATCATAGAGCTGAAGATAAGAGTTAGCATTGGTACAGGGAGCGGAAATGCAAGAATAGATAAGAATGTGAGTACATACACAGGATCTCCACGAGAGTTAGCAAGAGCAGTTTGTTCACTAGAAGAGTTCAAAGGTGCTCCCGAGCGGCCAGTAGCACGGGTGGTAAAGCGTGAGCGGGTAGCAACAGAGAGAAGTTCCCCAAGTGCCTTGCGACGAGCAATGAGTTGATCCATCCAGTCTTTTGGCTTTGGGCTACCATTCTCAGTGTAATTTGAAGGATTTTGCATACGAGCAATCATTTCTGGGTGCATCTCAATCTCTGCTTTTTGATTATCGAAAGAGCGAGCCTTGAAGATCTTTTGAACAATTTGCCAGCAGCAAATGAGATTTCCTACCCAGATAGCAACTGAGGATTCGCGAATGTACCAAAGTTGATAAGTTGTTGTCATAGGGCTCGAGAAGTTGTAGTATCTGATTACCGGGTTAGTACTCAATCAAAACCTGACACCTGGGAATAACCTACTTGTTCAAGATAGCCGCAAGAATTGTGAAGACAGCGAGAGAAAAGACGCCCATCAAGATAGCTTTGCGCATAGGTGGAAGACGTGCAATGTAAAACATCCAGAGTGGAATGAGGATCAAACCTAAATCAGAACTAATGTTGAAAACCATCTGAACGATGGAATAATGCTGGTATGTCGCACATTGCTCATCTTGAACCGGAACTGCCCAGTATTGTTTGAATGGACGACAGACACCAATGTAGTAGACGAACATGATTACGACATAGCCAATAGCGATGTAACCCATGAGAATCTTGAGTGCCATTTGCAAACTTGGAAGATTGCGACTTGGAAGTAGTTAGCTTTAAAGATATGCTGAAAACAGAACAAATGATGAACTTACCAAAGACGCCACAAGAAGAGCCAAATGCAAATCTTCACGCACCAGGTAGAAGCAAGCATGCATTGTTCAAGCGGAATGACAATGATAGAGCCATAAATGCGCGAAGCCACGTCGGCAGGGTCAGCCATAATTGAAGCCAGCTGCTCTGGAGGGAACAAATTGGTTTCATAACGAGCAGAAACATTAATCAAAATCAAGAGAACTGTATAGAAGCACTGCAAGTCTGTTAGGCGTGAAATATAATAAGCGTAACAAATGATTAATGCCACTTACCATTGTGACACACATGAGCCAATCTTCAAATCTCATCCTAGCCATAACCCAGGTAGCATTGAGACTACAATAAACAACCACGTCAGTTGAACCACTTCACACACACTGGAGTCTCTGGAACTGCTTCGAGAAGGGTAAGATATTGTACTTACATGCGAAAACCGAACAAGACGAAAGAAGGAATCACAAAACCAATAGTATTATGGAGGAGCTCAGAATTCGATGGAGAAACATTCCCACGAGGAATGATCAGAGGGGCCATCTTGACTCTCAGGTCCTGATAACTTGTATCTTTTGGTGATTATTTGTTATGGTTAGACACTGACCGAACTGGAGGAAAAAAGGTTGGTTGTTGTTTTTGATAGAAAGAAGTTTTCGAAACGAAAACTTCTTTAATGGAAAGGTCACAACTCGGAGATGGAAGTGAAAAGAATTCAGAGTTGAAGTTGAAGTTGAAAGAGAATCAATTGATGAATGTGGATGTGAATGTGAATGTGAATATGCAAATTTGTAGATTGTGCCACTATTGGTGAATACCTCTTCTCCTCCTGTCCCAAAATTGACGCTAGTACCAACTTTAAATTTGACACTCCGGCTCCTCATGAAGTCGGCTGAGGGGAGGGGAAACACCAACATTCAAAAAGATAAGAAGAGAGGTGAAGAAGATAAACAGAGAATAAAGGTATTTTTTTGGAAAAGACAAGTATCATCTGAAGAAGTTTCTAAAACCCACAAGATGAAATTTGGAGTCTCACAACCTTATCCGATCTTGTCCTACTTTTTGATATATCGAATCTTCAGCGCTTGGCTCTTTGGATTGGCAAGCAAGCAATCAAGCAAGCATATACAATCTCGGACTCGAGACCAGAAGCTGCAAGCTGCCACCTTACTTCAATGTTGAGCAACAGACAATCTTAATGATGTTGTTATGCAGCCCTACTCTCCAGTTTAAGCTACCCCCTCCCGTTCTGAAAGTTCTTAGAGTTCTCCGGAAAGTTACCATACCATTGCTGACCGGTTCAACGATTTTTTTCTAGGATTGGCGCCACAAATTGAGATGCGAATCACACCCTTTTCGACTTCACAGAATCTAACTCTTGATCATCGAACGGGAAATTGCATACTTTGCAAGGTTGCTATCCATAAATCATACGTTGAAGCTTGGCACAGCCGTGAAACATATCAAGACCAGTTCGGCAATGTTGCAGTGGTTGTGTAAGAAGAATATGCAACTACCCGCAATAAGTGAATTCTTTGGCTGTTGTAGCGAGAGTCGTTGCTGACACACAAAAGACTTTGTTGTCATCTTTAGCAAGAGCGATTCTGCAAGGCAAGGGCATACTATCTAGATGCACCAAAGTTACATACCTTTACATGACTTCTTACATTACTAAGTAAGCCTCTGGGTTCGCATTGCAGCGATCTACGAAACACAAGAGGATCTGATTGAGCGGAAGTCAGAGTTTGACAACGATCAAAATCTGGGGAGCTGGTAAATTTTGTACTCTCTGGCACGACATGACTACGATACAGTAGCGCTGCTCTGGATCGCCGACCAAAGTACGGGATACCAATTATCCGAGGATGGCATCCCAGTTGCTCCTACCTTTGTCAAATTTGCATAGACAGATATAAGGAAACACGTTGAGAACATTAAGAAACGTTTCTCATGCCAAAGTTTGGGGTCAGATTCTTGACTAGACTCTATAACCCTGGGTGAAATATTTGGGAAGTTCACTGACAGCCGTCTAACAATATTTGTAACCCTAACGCCATGCTCAATTCATCAATACTCATTCCTTCATTCCTTCATTCCTTCATTCATTCATATTATGCCACAGGGGTAATGTATGCCCTCAAGGCTGTCGTGGCATCACCGTCATGAGCCTTCAATAAGTCCGTGGCCTTGATCTTTGTCAATTCGAGTTCCTCAACCTGTAATGGAAATTTGATTAGCCTCAAGCACTAGGATCAAGCATCAGATTATAGCTAGGAAGTAGTATTGATGAGGGGATAGGAGAGGCAGAGCGTGATCAGTAGAAGAAAAGCTGACAGCAGGACTTTAAGAGTTTTGGTGGCCAAGAACAAAGACTTTATCTTGCATAAAGAGGATTTAACTCAAATGAATGCTCAATAACTGAGTTCTGTATATTAGAGTTAACATACCAATAAATTAACATCGGTAGCTTCAACCTTCACTATCTTCTTCACAGCTTTTTTCTCATCTTCCTTCTTTGCAACCTTTCCATTCGTGGAGCCGATACCTGCCAACCTTTCCATAGCTTTCCTCACAGCCTCTTGATCTACCTCTTTCGTCGCGGTCGATTCATCTTCGCGAGGGGCATCGAGAGAGGAGAGAGCGGCAGCAGCTTTGCGATCTTCTGCCGACTTGGCCTTTTGAGGGATTTCATCATCTACATCACCTGTAGTTGCGCCTTCAACTAACGTAGGAGGTTGAGACTCGGACATTTTGATAACAAAAAGATTTGCTGATAGACGTTAATTGTTCTTTGAACTTTGCACCAGGAAGGCAAGATTGTCGGAGTGACGTCTAAAAGGATCCAAGCACAATCATTGATTTTAGTTTAGGATTGGGGCTGCAAATCCCACACCTGTAGGGCTGATACTGGCTGACAGACAGGCTTATATCGGAAAACTTGTTCCCCGACGGTAGCCTGATATAGCCTAATCCTATGAGGGGCTGAGGGGTACCCAACCACAAGCTCGGGCCAAGTGAAATAGCCTTAAAGCCACACACTTTAATTTTATTATTTGAACCCCTCCTCCGCAAAAATAATCACATTATTTCTCCAACTTCCTTTCTTTGTTGTTTAGATCTAACTGGCTGTTGCATTACAGCTCGGAATAGCTTCATAATTTCCAATCTAGGAATAACATCATAGCACCTAATTCCTTCAAAATGCCAACCTTTGGTCCTGGAGCAGAATTGGGAATTGGTTATGATGGAGCCCAAATGGCCAGACCCATTGACTCACATCACCAGGTCGAGCCATGGTCGCCAAGCTCTTGGACTACAAGACCGATCAAACAAGATGCAATATATGAAGACCGCAAGAGCGTAGAGAAATCATTGTCGAAACTTCAACGCCTTCCTCCTATTGTTACTCCCACGGAAATCATCCAGCTCAAAGCAAGTTTACGGGATGTAGCTCTTGGCAAAGCATTTCTACTTCAAGGAGGTGACTGTGCTGAACTATTTGACTACTGTGAGGAGAATGCTATCGAATCCAAGATCAAGCTCTTACTTCAAATGAGTTTGGTTCTCGTCTGGGGAGCCAACAAGAAGGTAGTCAGAATCGCTAGAATGGCTGGGCAATATGCGAAGCCGAGATCAAGCCCCACAGAGATGGTAGATGGCAAGGAGACCCCGTCTTTCAGAGGAGACATCTTGAATGGTTATGAAATTGATGAGAGAAACTTGGATCCACAGAGACTTGTGAGGTAAGCGGATACCTGTGGGGCTATGGTACTTGACTGACTCGCAGCAGTGCATACTTTCACTCCGCAGCTACTCTCAACTTCATTCGCGCATCTCTTTCGTCTGGTATTGCCGACCTGCATAGCCCAATGAATTGGGGCCTTGGTCATGTTCGGGACCCAGGCTTGCAAGAGCAATACTCGAAGATTGTAGACTCTATCAGTGAGAGTTTACGTTTCATGCGTACCATTGGAGCAGATACAGCTGATCAACTTCGAGGAGTTGAGCTCTATACTAGTCATGAAGGTCTCCTACTTGAATATGAACAGAGCCTCACTCGACTTCTCAAAGACCCATCTCAAAACTTACAAGCCGGTGCAAACGCCGAAAAGAATGTCGATCCTACTAAGGATGGAAAGGCGTACTTCAATACATCAGCACATTTTCTTTGGATTGGTGACCGGACAAGACAAGTGGACGGGGCACATATTGAGTACTTCCGTGGTATAGCCAATCCTATTGGCGTCAAAGTAGGCCCTACAACTTCTTCCTCAGATCTTTTGGAACTTCTTCGAAAACTCAACCCAACAGTAGAAGTTGGTAAAATAACACTCATCACTCGTTACGGGGCATCAAAAGTTCGCACACTTCTTCCCAAACATATTCGAACAGTCGAAGATAGCGAATATGCCCGAAGCGTCGTCTGGCAATGCGATCCAATGCACGGGAACACAAGATCTACGTCGACCGGCATCAAAACGAGACAATTTACAGATATCTTCTCCGAACTTCAAGAGACCTTGGCAGTCCATCAAGAAGAAGGAAGTTATCTTGGAGGTGTTCACCTTGAATTGACCGGTGATGCTGTGACAGAATGTACCGGCGGTAGCGAGGAGCTTGCCGAAGAAGATTTATCTTTGAACTACACCAGCTTTTGCGATCCAAGATTGAACGAAAAACAAGCACTAGAAATGGCCTTCTTGATTGCAGGTCATTTCCGTGAGGGACCTGCCAAAAAATAGATTAAATGAATATCTAGTACACATGATTGTCGTCTGCGCTGGAACGCTGAGACTCCTTGTGACTGCACACCTTCTTCCCTTGTTTCCAATTTCTCTCTTATCACCCAAAGGTTTCATCAATGCGAGCTTCCTGGTCCTCCACATTCTCATTAAAGAATGCACGTTCGTGCTTCAATGTGTCCTGCCTCTTGATCTATATCTATGCTGCGTAATCAATGCTCTTATCTATTTGTAGGTCGGGCTTTCTCTTTCCAATACACATATGCATTAATATCAGACTTTTCCATGATTGATATGGATTGTGTTATTGCGAGCGTGCCTTTTTATTGCCGGCATTGTATATTATCGATATATCTACATTTATTCCAGCTAAATATATACATAAAAAGCATTTTATCATCATCCTAATGTCATTTGCTCAACACCATGCTTGAGCATTCTTCTTAAACACAGGTACCGACAACACTATCAGTGCTATTCTTAATGTAAGAGTATAGAGGGTTAGAAGAACCCGCACACAAAACACCTTTCACAAACACACCTGCAACCAAGTCGGCGGCAACAGGAGAAGTATGAGTGTGGTCATTTGGATAATAGGTGTCAACAGTCTTAGCACCAAGAACAGCGTACTGATTAGCGAGATATGTACCGTGGTCAATGAAGCTAGCCTTGCTTCCAACGTTTTCAACAACAATCTTGCCATATCCGGTGAAACGAGGGGATGTGTATGAGCATGTGCCTGTCTCACATGTGTTGTCTGGAGTGGGAGAAGAGATGATGACATGGGCGCCTTTCGCAGTC